AGGAATGCAGGTGTTAGGGGATTCTTTCTTTTGTTCTTTGTTTTGGGGAATCCTAGAGAGGTAAAAGCCAGTAAGCGTAGTAAAAGACAATGTGTTCCTATACTTGGAAAAAGATAAAGAGCTAATGGGACTGAGATGGAGAGGTCACCAAAATTCTTATCAGGAAAGGACTTCAATCTAAAAGGAAAAGAAAGAAAAACCTTTTATGACCCACTTTAAATCCACTGCAGCAACTATTAAGAAAGGCAAATATTTATTAAAATTAAACAAAATTACAAGCTATTTTAACAACAAAGCAAACCTAACAGCTTTGGGGTACATCTACTGAATGAAGGCTGAAAGATTTAAAGCAGGCCTTTAGCACCACACATGGCAGACCACAGATGCATTTTCATAAATGAATAGGGGAGTATCCTATAGGTTGCAGGACACATAGATGATTACACCATTGTTTTTGATCCATTTGTAACTATTACTAAACCAGTAACAAACTAGATGCAGCTTTGTGATCAATACACATGCTAATCTACACATTGGCAGTTTAAGTTATTTAACGTCCATTTTATTTCCTGTGTCCTTTAAAACTGACTAAATATGCACAGTACAGGAGCACTCATCTCCAAGTGCTGCAGTTAGGAATAGGAGAACAGGAAAGACAAACGAACAGCTTACACCCTTCATCTTTTCTTTTACTCTTGCAATAATTTCTAGGGAATTTCTTGGCCCTCTTACCATATTGCTTCTGAGCTGTAACGTACAGAGACAGAAGAATTAACTCTTAAAAAGAGGTGGTGGCTTCAAGACCTTCAAGTATAACCCAACCACCAGTCATTTTGCATTTCCAGTCTTTTCCATCATAACACAGCATCCCATGAACTGCAGAGCATACTTTCATGATGCACCCGTGTGATGTCGGTGGACTTTGCAGTCAAGGATTTTACTTGTAAATCAAAGCATCTTAAGTACCAGATGACACTGTACATTTGGTGAACTGGAGTGTGCATTTTTTCTGTTCCTTACAGATATCTGAAGCAAAATGAAATAGCCCAAATATCTCAGAAGTTACATTACCTGTCAAAGGAACGGAACTGTACAGGCTGCTCAGCAGCTCCATCACCAAGAACTCCAAGGAAGGCTGGTGGCGGCAGAGCAGAATCCACTGCAGTCCCATCAGCTGGCGTGCTGACCAAGCTTCTCAGGATATCCTTTACATTGACATTTTTTGCAGCTGGCACAGAAGATGCAGGCTTACTATCCTCAGTTCCTGCCTCACTTCTGCCCTCCTGAGACCTATTGACTTCTAATGAAAGCGTGGAGAGTACTTCACTGATTGCATCCGGACCTGCACTGACATGCAGCGGTCCTGCTTCAGCAACACCATCAGAACTGTTTGCTTGCCCTGAAGCTGGTTCCTCCCCAAGACCAGAATCCCTTCTTCGGACAGACGCTGTACTTTCTGAATCTTCAGTGGAGGCTGAAGCACCGAGAACAACAGATAGGTTTTCTGCATCTGTTCACACCAAAGACAGAAAACACACTTTAAATTCAGTATTAACAGAACTTCATTCCCTGCAATGCTCCTAAAGAAGTAACACCAACACATGACAAATGAAATAACACAGCTGTATTTCCTCTTGCCTACTTAGAGATTTAATATTATCTGTAAGTATTTGGAAGGAAGCTTAGAACAGAAAAACTTTCTTCTAATTTCTGAGAAGCCTGAAAAGCTATAGCATCTGAAAATCAAGAGACAAAGAAATAGAAGATACTGACTCAGTCAAATAATGAAAATTATTGATCATCCTAAAGAAAAATAGAAGAAAGAAAAATACAGTCTCACAGTAGAAACAAAAAGCTTCCAGTCCATGCTTATGCATACTAAACCTCACACAAGATGTTTCTGCAACAAGCATTTGTGAATACTTAGCTACGTCAGTGAGATTCACCACCTCTACACAGCAAAATCAACCTGGAGAGCAGGTTCCTCTCAGATCAGAAAAAGATACACACAAATAATGAGGCAAATTGAATACTACAATGTTGTTTATTCAAGTGCTTACAATGCATGTATTTCTATACAATCTTACATGGACTTCTGCAGAATGTTAAAATGCGTACACCAGATTATTTCATTTGGCCAAATAATTAAGTTTACCTTTAGCAGGAGTTTCATTATTTTCATTCTCCAATTCCTTGAGTGACTGGCTATGGTTTGGTGGATGTCTTTCGTTCTGGGGTTCCAGTATATCTCTGTATTTTGAAACCATGAGCACAGATATAAAATATACAACTGCCAAAGCCAAAAACTGAGCCTGTTTACTATCCTCCTGCAAAAAAAGGGGGGGACACAGATTTTTCCATTACAATTTCAGCAACATACTTATTTTTTTTCTGTAAAGTATGCCCAGTGCTACCATAAACAGACTGAGAGTAAGTTGATACGTCAACAATGGAAGAACAATATTCCCTAGTCACAGTTTGTCTCACCTATAAAGCTGGGGAGTATGGCAACTGTATTCAAGTGGCACTAATTCTTTCATTTGTAAATATGACAACTTTGACTACGGTTTGTGTGTTTTGACTACATATTTCAAATTAGTGCAGGCACTAGGTCCCCTTTATTTATTTATGTTTCCTCTGTTACACGCTTCCTCAAATGTGCTAAGATATTAACAGCGTTTGCTGTGAAGTACAGCCAGGCAAGCATACTCAAAACTGTAAAACCATTTATAAACTACTACTTCTTAATGACGGAAGTGCAACAAAATCCAGAACCAGCGTTAAGGTTTTATTTCATCATCGGATTGTCCAGATGGATGTACTGTACTCTGTATAATTTAAGGGAGAATTGGCAAATACGCATTTGCATTACTGCTGTGACTTCATCAAAAGTTACAGTGGTAAGGATTATAAACTATTTTCTTGCCAGATAAATTTTTGAAGACAGTTTCCATCTATAATTAATAAAGTTGTGACCTAGTGAATCAGCACTACCTCCTCCTTATTTTTTCTGCTACATTTGTAGAACTCATTGAAATAAAGTTCATATACTACTGGACGTACTAGTACTGATAGTTAAGTGGAATCTGCCCGAATTCCTCCTATCCAGGTTCAAATCATGCCAACCACAATTCTGTGTGCTGAACACAACTCAAGAAACTGCATGCAAATCAAGCATAAAACATCTAGATGCAAGTATAAGCAGCTCAGAAAAAAACTACTCCAAAACAGATCTTTTAAAATCTACTTTTTCTCCACAGCTCAATACAGCAGCCAGAAAGCAGAGTTATTCCATCATTTTACATTTATTTGTGAAATAGAAAAGCTGGTGGATTCGATGTGCAAAAAAAGCAGGAGTTGTGTGTGCATGTTGTTTTTTTAAAAGAAAGAAAGAGAACACAAAATGGGCTTAATTTTGAAGATTGTATCATTAGGATTACTGTAGATGTCACCAATATGGAAGATTCACTTCCTGCTACTATTTTGCACACTGATACAGAAGCAGGGATTGAAAGAAGCTTGTTTCAATCAATAATTGCTGTAAAGATAAAAAATGAAGATCCTTCCCTATTCCAGACAGAACAAAAGTCACTGTGTAAATCATTATACTTGCTAAATAGTCCAATTATTGTAAAATAAGTTCTGGTGTCCAGAACAAATCCACCAATGACTCATAGCCATTATAGTTGCTGTATTTGCTTACAGAAGGGTTTTTTAAGCAATCAATCTCAATTTCCTCAATATCAGCTATAAAGTTGCTGACATAGGGCAAAGATATTTTTAGTCAATTCAAGACCAAAAAAACATATGCATATTTACAGCACACACACAGAAATTGGTTCCTCTGGGGGGGAAGTAAAGGAATTAGAGATGACCTCTAATTTCCAATTAGCTAGAAAGATACTCATTCTTCAAAAAGCTTACATAAACATCTTTACAATACACAGTACACATAAACAGCTAGTCTATGTACAGCACGTGATAGTATCTGTTTGTACCAAACACAACATATTTAATATACAATAGGCAGAATTCCACAGAATCAGCTCTTTGGTATGTTCCTAAGAGCCCGATCAGCAGGCAGCGATTTTCATCTCTCTCTCTTTCCAACCCCAAACACTACAACAGCTGCAGAGTATTACATGTTCCTAACCACTGTGAGCAGCATTCAGATTTTGTAAATTCATTTTAGCCAAACTGCGTAACACGTAGCAAGTGTTCAGCAAACAGATATATGCAGAAATCCAGCTACAAAATAAACTAACATTATTTGTAACTTACTATATCTCTGAACACTACTGCTCGAAGCCGATTAATATCCATATCCTGCAGAAGCCTGTCATGGTCTCGTATCGGAGAAATGCCACCAGTCACCATGTCCACTGGACTCTATTAAAAAAAAAAAAAACAAAGCAACTGTTCCAGATTCTGTTTGTAAAAGCATTCTACCAAGAATCATTAAGTGTGTACAATCAGCCACGGTATATCACATCGTTATAACTAGACCACAAAATCAGATATGCATTTCATCTTAAAGGAAAAAAAAAATCTGGCAAATTCTTGTGACAGATTTATTTCACTGTGGAAGGTCAAATATGTAAGTGTTAAACTCGCATCTTGGAAAAGCTACTTCAGGATTTCCAGTGCTCCTGCTCTTCAGCTCTATTGAAGTGGTGCAGGTATAAAAACTTACCCCTCCGTACAGAGTAATAATTACTGACTTTTGTGCTCCTGAATGTGGTCTTATACTTGCCTTTGCTGCAGACTTTCCTGTTCCTATAATGCCCTGCACTGCTTTTTGGTTCTTCGCAGTGTCTCCAATAGGCTTCTGTGCATGCTGCTGACACTCCAAGCAATTTCTTACTGCTACCGCACATACTTGAAGGGAAAAGAAATGGTAAGACTTACTCCAGGAAATAGTAGTCTCTGCTTCTCACATTTCTGTTTATCACAAACTAAAAAGTTTTAGCACATCAGTAAAATCATATTTTTCTTCAATAAATTTTAGATAGTTGTAAAACAATGCTCAAGATTCTTTAATAATTAATAACTAAGTAATACTGAACTATTAGAACATGTGTGTTACATCTAACAGACACTTCAAAGTGAGTAAGTTAGCATTCCTCACTGAAGTTTCACCATGCACACAACCACGGGGCAGGGAGGGTGAAGACAGCTCGGTTTCACAGACCAGTAAGGAAGAAAGTCAGGTGCTACACCAGTGAAACAAATTTGCTTCACAATGCTCTGTTACTCTTGGACTCAGTGTCCTGAAGTTATACAACTTATTTTTTTTATCTTCGCAGTTGTACCTGTTTCATCTTCTACTATTATTTTCAAAAGAAAAAAGAACTACCCCACCTCTATACCTGCTTGCATCCCGTAAATCTTGTTCTACCTGCACAAAGTTTTAATTGCCTAGAAAGGGAGAGGAAGGCTAGTTGCTGGTGAGGCTCTGAGCTGCTCTGGCACTCATGCAGATTAAACTTTTCATTACAAAAAGTCTTACAGCACGCAACTAGCATGAACTGAAAAGAGTTATGATCCTGTGCTTTCTCATTTCTGGCATAATCATTACTTTTTTTTAGGTAATGACCATTTTCTTTCAATCCAATTTGATGCAAACATAATATAATATTGGATACAACTACTGTCCAATGTGAACCCTACGCTTCAGAAATTTATATCTCTAGTTTTCACCTTACCTTCATCTACTGACCTCAAGATTTAAACCTCTCCTATGTATTGTAAAGGTTCTTGTGTTTCTATACAGTACAAGATCTCTTTCTTTAAGCTGCTATATTCTCAGCCTTGTCTATTTGGGGCACTTTGGCAAAAGAAATCACGGACAAAATGAAAACATGCATTCACAACAGGCAGGCTACTAGACTTAATTATTTCTTCTAAACTTTTTAAAGAGGAAAGGAACCTCATGTATATGCATTGTAGAATAAAGTAATAGCAAAATAATAAAATATTCCAACGCTTGACTAAATTTAACCTTAATTTCACAAAAAAAGGAAGAAAAAAATCAAGCTAACAATTGACAACTATTTAGTAACAGCAAGCTCCTATGCGCATTAAGTGGTTTTATTTGCCTACCCAGACGAAGACATTGCCGCAGAATTCCTCCAGATGACATATTCTTCTCAGACTCAATTTCAGTGAAACCAAGAGAGCTTGCAAAAATTAGCACATCCACAAGGTTGATTAATCTCTGGAGAAATGCTAAAGATGCTTCTACTGAAAGTCCTTGAGTTGGCTCAATGTTCTCCAATTCATGCTACATAGATAAAAATTGAAAGCAACATTTACTTCTTTACAAAGGTGATATTCCTACAACTTAAATGAAGAAAAATGGAAGGCCATTTTCAGTCACATTCAAATGTAGTAATTACTCACGTTCTAGAAACAATCATTACTATTGGGATTGAATCCTATTCTAGACCACTGTAGGACAATGAAGCCAAGTAACTTCTTTTTATGTCTCCAGGCAAAGAGGGCAAGCACCCAGTTTATCTTGGAGAAAACATGGACGTAGCAAAGGAAGGAAAGATGTTTGTGGAATATCCCACATGCATTCCTGATTCCCAAAAAGGACAGACCTAGTGAATATACTGAATAAAGAAAGGCATCCTCCCACAAGAGATGAATTTTCAAATAAAAATGAAATTTCTTACAGTGGTGGATGTGGCAGCAGAAAGCAACGGCAGTATACCACCACAGGCCATGATCATGTTGTCCATCACTTGAGAGATGAGGTGAATTGTGTTGTGCACAAATATGACATTGTCACTGCTATTCACAAAGTCCATCACAGTTTTGGTAGAATGGCTGTCAAAAAAAAAAAAAAAGAAAAAGGCAGGTTTCACAAAAAAAAAAGCATTCAGAATACAGCTATGGTATTTTAGTATTTTTATGCTTTCATAAAACTAAAACCAGAGAGTTAGCAGTAGTGCAGCAAATATTGCATTACCATAAGGTTCAACTGATGTACTTCAACCTAAACCTAAAACCACCTTTCCTTTCTGTTCTTCTAGCTCTCCAGATCATAGCTTGTTAAAGACATCAAGATGTGTGCTTAACCATCATTTGGATAAAGACACATTCATAGGCTGGTCTATGATTGCTTGCTATAGCAAAAGTCATTCTGTAAGTCAATACAATAGTTTCCTTGAAGTGTGAACCAGATTTGAACCTAAATCTTTGTAAAAATAAAGCAAATAATATGGGCTTCTAAAATCAATTTAAAAAAAAAAAAAACAACAATAAAACACAAACACCTAAATCCTGTTAACAGATTTTTGAAACAGAACCTAAACTAAAAATACACTTAAGCTATATCTGATGATGTTTTGAGAGGTTTAGTCACAGCCTAAAAATTATTGTCAGACAAAAATTCACCTCAGTTTCAATTGTGTTTTAATAACTTAAATAATTATATGTATTCATCCTTACATTCCTTTTTACTGGGTCAGTACAGCTATACGGTTCTATTTAAATTTGACATTCACTACTACAAGTTAATAATAGATGCAACCCTTAAGTTATTAAATTTTAACATTTAAATGCAGAATTACTACTGTTTTCAAAGTTTCATTTTTTTTACTCAAGTCATCTTGATGATTACATTCCAGGTCCCTGTTACAAGCTAAGTTTTAAACCCATGGAACACCTCTTTGTTCACAGAATCCTAAAAAACAGCAACATGGTGTGTGTAAATGCAGAAGTAATAAACAGAATTTAGGATAGATTTTTTTCTTTAGTCCATATTTAGATACTCATAAAAGATGCAGGCCCTTCCATCTATCGGGAACATGAAAATCACAGTCCAATAAAAATCAACAGCAAGACTGCCGTTGACTTAAACGTAGTCAACATAGTCAGTCTAAATATATGTGCAGGCCCTCAACCAATACAGATTTATGTTTGTAAAGAGTCTTAAAAAAAATAATCTGAGAATACTTGGATAAAGGCCACAAAATAAGGCTACTGAATAATGATTAAAATACCAGATGTGCAAAATTCAAAGAAAACTCTCATGCAGTTTCAGCAAAATCTCAAGTTAATTATAATTGAAATGCCAGTCTAGATTGTTCCATATAAAGCACATAAATGTACCTTCTCCACATCTGTATATCTGTTTCTATGGAAAAGAGTAAGTCCGTGAGCAACCGCTGGTGCATCAGTGACCACTTGAACTCAGGAATACGGAACACAGTTGACCTCGAGTCTCTTCTCTGCCCATCTGATGTAGCAGCTAGCTCTTGTCCTGAAGAATCTTGCTGCCTTGAGGTCTGAATACACAGTTTGCAGACAAAAAAAAACCCCATACCTTGGTTATTAGTTTCCATGGCATACACTAAAATGCCTTTAACAGACTTGAGATTTTAGATATTCAACAAGTTTATACTCCATACGTGGTTACAAATAAAGCTAAAACTATGACACAAATGCTCTTGACTGGATATACCAAACCACAAACTAGTCTACGGCTTCACTACCACACCTGCCAGGCTAGGTACACACAAGCAGCAACTCAGCCTTACCCCAGGGGGAGTATATGTTGCTGTAGAGAGTTGTTTTCCTCCTTTAAGGAAGAATGGTGCAGAATGAAGAGCATCCATTAGCAGGTATCTCTGCAGAAGGGAAGTACTCAGATACATGACTATTTAACCATCAAAAGCTGAGTTAGTTAAACTAAAGACTAAAGGCGTGGAGCACTGCAGCATGCAACAGAAGCCCAGTTTTAAATGACACTTGCACAAAGGTAGGCTGGCATGATGGAGTGAGAGCCTCGTCAAATTTCAGAGTTTACAAAAAAAATATATATATATATAGTGTACCTAGTGTAAAAAAATATTTCCACAAGTTCCATTAGGATATGAAAGAAAGCTCTACTTTTTTCTGCGCAAGGAATGTTCACTTGTCAATAATTATAAGAGTTAAGATTACAAAAGACCAGACTGAAACAGTAAAAGGGAGGCTGAGTAGAAGCAGAAGAAATTCTAGATAAAATTGACTCAGAATGCATGAACATTTCCTTCTATACTTCAAACTTCAGAACAGAAGTACCACCACAGACAAAGCATCCATCTAGCCAAATACTCAACCTCCATCAGCATCCATAAGTGATGTACAAAGAATAAAATTTTAAGAGACTTTTCAGTACACAAATTAGTAAGCATTATGGTTATTTTAATCAAGGGTTGAAAGTGTTCTTTAGATAACTCACAAAATGCGCACACATTAAAATCTCCAAACCATGTATAGGCACACTTTCAAACATCTCATAAAATAAGAACTTCCTTTTTTTTTTTTTAAGCTAGACACATGAAGGATGAAGAGAGAATTTACCTCAGGTATGGATCTGGGAGGCAGAGGTGCTTCTAGACATGTGTTAGCTTTCAGCTCCAATCTCTCTGTATCTGATGCAACACTAGAAACATCGAGCTTGGCAATTCTTTTCTCAGAGGCTCCAGCAGGCTCTGGCACATGTACGTTTGCATCTTCTTCTGCAGTTCTGGTTTTACTAAAAAGAATCTTTTCTTCCTCCAGCTTCTTTTTCCCTTCTGAACCCAGCTGAGTCACTACTTGTTCAGCTGTAGAACTCACTGTTTCCGGTAAACAAGTCAGTTCTTCTTTTTTCCCATCCACACCTTCTGTATCTTCAGATTTTAAAAGCCCAGATTCAGGTTGCTTCTCTGTTGCTTTTTCCTGCTTTGTCACTTTCCTTTTTTGAGAGCTAGGTTCCTTGTTAATTTCTGCAAACTCTTCTGAAGGTAAAGGCATGCTACTTTCCTCTTTCAAATCAACAAAGTCATCTTCATCTTCCACCTCCAATGATGATTTTTCCAGTTTTTCTGGGCTTTCAGGAGTTTCTCCTTCCAAAGTGGTCTGTATTGCTAAAGAAGCAGCAGTGACAGCTACTCTTTCTTCCCCAGGCTCAAGAGCTTTGCTTGGAGAATCTTCAATTGCTTCAGCTATTCCAGTACTAATTTCTGAAATGCTGGGCTTTATTGCTTCTGGTTCTGGCGAAAATTCTGCACAAGGCACTGCTTCTAAATCTGGTGTAGTCTCCCTGTCTTGCCCCTCTAACTCCTCCCTGTGATTAGACACTGAATGAGTCCGTTGGTCACCATCTGATGAGGCACTGGTCTCTTTTTTTTCAGTACTGCACTCCATCTCATCATCAATAATGCGTGGAAGAGCAGTAGCATCTTCTTTTAACTCCAAACATTGTTGCTTGCCCTTGGTTTCAGCTTCTTTGCTAACTCCAGAGATTGTTCTAATTGAAGTTGAAGAACACATTCCACTCCCTTCACCTCCTTTCCCTTGGTACTCCTTGTACATTTGAGAAAGACTCTCTTTGTGCATTTCAAAAGTTACCTAAAAGAACAGAGTTGAAAGTACATTAAAAGTTATATACTAATGTCTGCTTTCGCTGAAAAAAACCCAAATCATGGTTCACATCACAAAGTTACACTACAAATTTATATTGGATACTGTCCTCATGATAAAAAATAATTTTGTGTTGGAGATCACTTCAACTGAGAGCAAGTTTCTCCAGTGTACCTGTTATTCATGGCTGAAAAGAAGAAGAAAAAAAAAAATAACACCAGAGTCAGAAAATCCTAGGATGATCCTAAGGATAGGAAATCAGATGTCTAGTAGGAGTACTCAGAGTTTTAAAAACTGCTTCTAGTAAAAGAAGTTAAAATGTTTAAAGTTTAACATTTTTTTGTTAATATCTGCATTATTTCCTGGGCTAACTGCAGTCATCTGTAATTAGAGTTATCTGTGCTACTTGCATTCATGTAATTGTATAGGATGCAGATAAAAATGCAACAGCATAACATGCGGAGAATTACTAAATTTGAGATAGCCAACAATCTCAACTTTTTTGTAAGAGGGGACACTGTGACAAGTAGCAGGGGCAGTTACTATATCTGAGCTTTCACATCATTTTAGCACCTTGAGTATGCTCAACAATCCGCAAAGATTAAAAAAAAAAACTTGCAACAAGTTTACATTAAAAAAATTGCAATCCCACAAAATCAGAGCAGAAAGAAGCATGTAATGAAGCCAAAAATCCTGGTGACCTCCAAATAGTACCTAAAATTCTCCAGAGTACTTTCCTGAACGCTATTCACCCAGTCTAAAAAGTACATGAGAACAACTCCACAATCGGATGGAAGTGAGACGACTTTCCTACAGATGAGCTGAAAAAAAGTATTGTTGTCTCTAGGTATATAAAAACAACTCCAGACAGAAAAATTCTTTATACACATAACGATAAAACAAATTTGTCTAAATAAATAGCTGTGTGTTCAAAGAAAATCTCACTAGACTCACTGAAATTTTTATTATGCTGTGATTCAATTTAGTTTATGCATACCTTTCTATTTAAAATTTACGCTTATCTTCTCTAACAGAAATATTCATTTATCTGTAAGCTTACTTCTCAAAATTTTCCCAACATATAAGCTGCAGTTGAGGGCTGGTTTTTTGAAACTATTTTCTTTATCATAAACATTTTCCACAGACAAAGCAGAGCAATATATTTTACTAAGTATATGAATGCACATTTTCTTCTTCTCTTACATACTAAACTCATTCATTTTGATCTCATCTGAAGATTTCGTGTGCACAGTATTCAAAGTGACCATTAGTGAGCAGGAATATTTTCCCTTAAGACAATATATGTTAGTCAAAAACTAACTTGATAGGTTAAAAAGATGCTAGAAATTACAGTTAAAAAAACAGAGAGGAGCAAAGAAAGGACAAAGGTAAAAAGGAATATTCTTGGCAAGTTGTGTTGTTAACATTAGCTTTTTAACATGCTGTTTTCTCCATCAATCAAATATATATTAAAGTACTGGAGGAACAATGATTTGTCCTAACACATGATCTGAAGCATGTTATTTGTTCAAGTTGATTTAATCGAAACTTGAGTCTCTAGCAATACAATTTGGATATCTTCCTCCTCCCGTTTAAAAAAAAAAGTCTTCCTGTACTAATCTTAAATCAGTTATGTACAAACAACAAAATGTGTGAGTGATTACAAATGATTGAAAGTTCATCCGTCAGAATGAATCTGTCAAATATTTGATTACAGGGTATCTATGGCTAAATAGAATGTGTGTGAGGTGGTATTATTCTAGAAAGACTTCCTTCTAAATCCTCTCTGAACGGTACCACAGTCAGGATGTCAAAAGCAGCCCAAAACAGATTCTGCTAATAAGCCCTCCCTCATACTTCCAGTGTTTTCAAAAACATGATTAGGCAAAAGTGCTAGTTTGGGTCAAACCATTACTTTTCTGAAGAAGAAATCTTGACAACTTGATCTCCAGTTCACTTTCCCTCTTCTCTCTCTCCGTGTTGCTGCCTCCATTTCCAAAACTACTGAAAATTTTTATTCCAACAAGTACTAATGAGACATTCAACGAATGAAAATACTATTGGGTTTATTTCCGCAAAACTGATCGTATGTACCTCCCAGAAAGCACACTGACCCACAATAAGGATACGCATTACTTATGCAATCCAAGTACAGCTGTAACAAATCTGTGATAACACAGACACCTTTATTCATTTTTGCCTTCAGTTTCTTGTTATTGCAACACTCATTTTGAAAAATACATGGGAAAAATGACACCTCAGAAGTATTTGCATGTTTTGGCTACACTGCATACTTACTTTTTTAACACTAATAAGCTACATCCAAGCACGAGACCTGAATTCTAGTCCGGTTCCAAAACTGTTGAACAAGTCTCAGGTCTAGCCTCCGAATCTTATTTCACTAGTTTCCTTGAACCAAGTCAAAGCAAGATAAAGATGAGAGTGGCACTTGTTATTTTTTTTTCCCCTGGGTTGGCGGGGTTATTTTGTGGAAAGGGGCAAACAAGGGAGACATGTATGTCAAATTCTATTACTGCTGCTGCCATCTCTCCCCAGTAAAAATAGGGATAGGCACAATGACAGTAAGATGTTCACAAGAGAATGGCTGGAGAGACCTGTTACAAAACATGATTTTCTTCAGTGCTCAAACTTGAGCACAATGGTGAGTAGCACATGACTCACGCCATGTTCAGGAACAGGAAAATTCAATCTTCATGGAATGAATCCTCCAGATGTTGTGCAGGGCTGGCAGTTACTAAATCCACCTTGCAAAAAGAGCACATTCACAGTGTTGCAAGAGTTCCCTAAAGCAACACTTGATGCTTACACTGGTCATTCCAAAACACAACAAGCTTTAACAGCAACAGAAATTTTGAAGTTCTAGCAGCTCTAGCTATATAAGAGCTTTGGTAAATTACCAACCTGGTTAAAGTAGTCAAGGGAAGTTGCAAGCATCAAGGAATATAACTTTAAAGGCATTCTGAAAGCATATCATCAGTTCTGTTACAGCTGCTTTCCCCCAGCACTCCAAGGAATCACTGAGGTTACGGCCGGAAGGTGACACCAGATCATCTAGCCCAGCCCTGGATTTAAACCCACTTTCCTACACATTGAGCCCATAACATGGAATGGATGAGAGCATCCAGGAAGTCCTCCAGCCTTGGCACTAGAAATAAAGAGATAAAATCTCCCCTGGATCATTTGTTCCAAAGGTCCTCTGCCATCTTAAAAAAAAAAAAAAAAATCCCTTCTTTTATTTTGAAAGTCTAGCTTCAGTTTCTAGTCAGCAATTATGTCTGCATTTCTGAGTTATTAAAAATACCTCAATGAGGAAGACATATCACATTTTCAAGGGTTTTTTTTCTTCTACATACTGTTTTTAAAAGTCAAAAAAACCAGAGAAGTAACAGGACTGTTGAACAAGAATGAGCTTTCATTCTGGACTAAAATCCTTCCTGCGACTCCCCTTCTGCAAACTTTCTATCAAAATTTCTATCATTACAAAGCAACACTTTGGAAACCTGCAATACTCTGGTAACCAGAATGTGCTCTTCAGGATTGTTAATTCCTACTACCAAAAAAAAAAAGTCTGTCAAGAAGGTCAAAACAGACAACTTATATTTACAGACAGGCAATGTAGACTTATGAGCAAAATAAATGCAAGCACAGTCTGATAAGAATCTATGTTGATTTAAGAACAATGCATGAAACTGCAAGGAGAATTGCAGTGATAAAGAAAATTAGTACAGAACCACAGAAGAACATCAATCACAAAAAAGCCCAAAAGCCACTTAAAAAGGAAGGTAATTTCTATTTCTTCTGTAAACATCAGAAAGAGTTCATGTGACTTACCAATTAATGCCTTAAATACTGTCCTTTAAATAATATTCAAATTAAAATAGCAATGCATAAAATTAGGCAGACTACCTAAAGCACAGTATTTTTCAAACTTGCATTTCAAGTTTGGGGTTTTCTTATTTATATAAAAAAAGAAAACAAATTTAAGAAATACTGCTTTGTAAAACTCAGTTTTTTAACAAGCCTGTCGAAACAGTTCTGCTCATGATATTAATTTGTAATTGGTTTGACAGGACACCAAGAAATAGTGGTAGTATGAAGGAAGCACAGGACAATTCTTCACCTGCACTCCTCTTCCATGCCATGGCATTTCTGAAGCACACAAGTTCACAAAGCCAAACACTACTACTCTACAAAGAAAACACCTAAGGTTAACAAAAGCAATATCAACAAAAATGCAAAATGAAGCAGAAATTATGATTATTAAACACAAGCAGACAGAGATGATATATAAAGGTATTAAAGATTAAACATTAAGATCTGCAAGCACGCAACAATTTAGAAGACAACTGTCAGCTTGGAGAACCTTAGATGTACTTAAGTCATTTTTTATTTTCCTTAAGGCATTTGCAACTGTAAAGCTGATAATACAAAATTAATTACTAGAAATTGTTCTAAATTAGAGAGCTAAAAGGCCAATCATTAATCTTCACCATCATTTGATGGTTAATCCATAGCTGTTTGAAATGCTTCAAATGCATCTCTACGCACTACTAGTTAAAGACAGTTGTGAGCTAATACCTGCAGCTTTTGCCTCTGCCATTGATTTTACTTTAATTTGACATTCAGCGTTTCCTAATTGCCAAGGAGAAAAAAAATCACATCTAGCAATGAAAAAGGTTAAGATGACTGACATTTGCATTAAAGAACATAGGGAAATTACTTTAAGTATATGTTAAAATTTTGTCCTTTGTTCATTATCAGGTGGGCAATTTTTGTAGAATAGAGAGAGGAAGGGAACGTCTGCCAGCCAGGTCAGACAATTCTGTAGTACCGCTGTGTCCTTACAGAGTCTGCTCAGTCCTGTGCTGCTGGCGCCATCAATAACCTCTTCATAACTCCAGAGAGCGTTACAACTTCTAAAATCTTAACAAGGACTTCAATTGACCTGCTTTTCCACTTCTCCTCTA